TTTTTTTTTTTTTTTTTTTTGGTTTATGTTTTGTTTTGTTTTTGAGACAGGGTTACTTTGTGTAGCTCTGGATGTCCTGGATTTTGCTCTGTACATCAGGCTAGCTTTAAACTCATATCCACCTGTCTCTGCCGCCTGAATGCTGGGATTAAAGGTCTAGTCCTGGAAAAGTGTTCTTAACCTGTGTTAGTGCGGCTTCTGAATGTCTTGTTTTCTTCAGGAATTGCTATCTTTTGCATGCTGCTTACTTACTACATGTGGATCAAGGCAGTGAAGACTGGTTCCATCTACTGGGCTGCCAAGTGTGCCCTTGCTTATTTTTACATGGTAACTATATACATGTATTCTCTGTGTCTCTTTCTTTTTTTGGCGTAAGGATTGAGCTCATACTAAGTATCTGATTAACTGCTGAGGTAGTACTTCTCTACATATTTTTAATAAAAAAATTTTCTTTCTCCCCTCCCCAGCCCCCAAGTTCTTTCTGAGATAGGGTCTTATGTATCCCAGGTTGACCTCAAACTCTGTGTAGCCAAGGATAGCCTTCTGATCTCTTGTCTCTACTTACTGAGAGCTGGTATTACAGATGTGTACCACAGTGCCTGGATTATACAATGTTTAGGATTGAACCGAGGGCTTCTTGTATGGTAGGCAAGCATTCTACCGAGTTATATCCCTAGACCCCCTATTTTTCATTCTACTAATAAAGTCTTTCAAATTCTGTATTACTGTATTTCCTATGGGTACATGTTGGCTGTCCCATATTTTTATTATATTCCCCTTAAAAATTTCCTTTTCTAAGATACATTTTTTTTCTATGTAATTTTACATCTGTCCCTTGACTTTGTTTTTGTGCTTCTACTGAGACTGTGTCTGACACTGTATGGCATCTAGATTAGTAAGATACACTGTGACTTGGTGTATCTTACTATGTGTCAGCATGCTCTGAGTCTGCTCCAAGGGACTAATCCTTCTGTCTTCTCACAGGTCTCTTCGTGGGGAGGTTATGTGTTCCTGATCAACTTGATCCCTCTTCATGTCCTGGTGCTAATGTTAACAGGCCGTTTTTCTCACCGGATCTATGTAGCCTACTGTACTGTTTACTGCCTGGGCACCATTCTTTCTATGCAGATCTCCTTTGTGGGCTTCCAGGTAAGCTGAGACTTTATAGAGTTTCTGTAGCCAAATGTTTCTAAGTAGCTCCAAATAGATTGACTAGGTTGGATTCTCTTAAGAAGAATATGAATTGCAGTTTCTATTTTTCACTGCTTATTAACTGAAACAACAGAATTGTTGGTTATGAATCTGCCTCTAAGAACACATCAGTTTTGCTGCATGCTATTTGAATTTAATGGCTCTGTGCTTAGGTTTGTGTGAGTAGGAGGCCCAGTTAACAGGGTTGACTTGAATGATCAAAGTTAAAATTTCAAACAAGTGGAAATGACCCCATTTAATAGCAGTGGACTCTGAACATCTTAATGGGGCCTAGGTGAGTCCTTGAGGAAGCAAAGCATAAGCTTTATAACCAGGTTATGTACAGTTAGCAGGACATTGTGTGTTTGGTTTCTTTTGTAAAGCTTTCATATTTAGAGATAAGCATATATTTGTAGTCACTTAATATTTGAAATTTACTATTCACTGGAAGATGTAGAGAATGTGCTGTGCTAGTCCCCGAGGAAGTTGGAGAAGGAAATATACACAGCTGTCTGCGGTCTACAGTTCAGTAGTTCTGGAAAGTGTTTCTGGAGCGTTGACATTAATAGTGTCCGGACACTTGTTAGAATGCAGATTCTGTGGAGGAGGGATTCAGAATTCAGGGTCATCCTTGACTTCAGTCAAGTTGAAGCCCAGGTTGGTGTGCATGAAATTCTGTCTCAACAGAGAGAACAGATCAGAACTGAGAACTTAGATCAAGCCAAACCAAGCCAAGTGAGACAGTAAAAGAGACCTGTTGAGTCAGACACTCTGGGTGGGGCTCAGAACCCACTTTAACATTCCCCTTCGTTATAATGCCCACTAGAGTTAGAGAGCCACTGTCTGTGGAAGAGAGTCATTATATACTAAAGGAGTCATACTGGTGCTAGAGACATAGCAGCCACTGATTCTCAGGTTTGGAGATGAAAGTGACATTGAATTTTAAATGATGAGTTTTAGTGAATGGAAATTAGGAGAAAACTCAGTCCAGACTAAGGAAGTAACTGGAGCAGGTGTGATTGTGATGGTGTATAGTGTGCTTTGTTAGACTCCAGACATTTTTAGAAAATATATTCGGTAAATTAAACCCATTTCTATATTGGTCCTTGTTCATTTTGGAACTTGAGACCTCATTTGATTCCTTGGGTTGAAGTAGATCAGAAAAGTACCAATGTTGGATGAACTGTATTTGTTTTTTCTCCTAATATTGCCATATGTGATCACCCACTTCCCCCTAGCCTGTCCTTTCATCAGAACACATGGCAGCCTTTGGAGTGTTTGGTCTCTGTCAGATCCATGCCTTCGTAGATTACCTGCGCAGCAAACTGAATCCACAGCAATTTGAAGTTCTTTTCCGAAGTGTCATCTCCCTGGTTGGCTTTGTCCTCCTCACCGTGGGTGCACTCCTCATGCTGACAGGTAGGGGAGCACGTCTTTTATAGTTAGATACACATGGATACAGATGTAGAATAAATACCAAAAAGATGGACTCTTCGGTCACCACAGAAGATTCTGTCTTTATTTCAAGCGCTGAAGCCAAACACTTAAAGATTAGTTTAATTTTATGTGTATGGGTGTTTTGTCTGCATGTATGTTTGTGCACCACATGTGTGCCTGGTTCCTGAGGAGACCTTAAGAAGGCATCAAATCCCCTGAAACTGGAGTTGTGGACAGCTGTGAGCCACCACATGGGTGCTGGGAATTGAACCCATGTCCTCTGCAAGAGCAGCAAAGACTCTTAACTGCTGAGCCATTTTTTGAGCCCCAAAGTCCTACTCTTTAAAACATTCATTCTCTTTGTCAGCATTTGGATTATCTAGTCTTGCCAGCACTTTTTCAGTTTTTTTTCCTATTGGTTGGCTTGTAGAAGTTCTTTTCTTTGTCATACTTTAAGTCATGGCACTCGATCTATGGAAACTAAATCATGGCTATTTAGGTGATATTCTCCTTTTTTTTTTTTTAATTTACACTTCTTAGAAGCTAATTTGATTTTTCTAATTCATAGCAGGATGGAGGACTTAGTTCACTTAGATTCTAGAGTTGACCTTGATTTCTTAATTTGACTAGATTAAGCCTAAGATTTTCCTTTTCAGTAGGCTTCTCTGGAACCCACTTCCCCCTTGAATTTTTATTTGGCCAAATTATGTTGTTGAAAAATACACTCTTTCAAGTTTAAAAAGAAAGGAGTAAAACTGTAAATAATACTGATGTTAGTAAATCAAAAACAGTCCTTTTTTATCTCAGAATTTTATAAAAATGGAACGTTGTGGGTAAAAGTGCTTTTTGCATAGTCTTGCACTTATGGGCGAATGGCTAATTAAGACAGTACAGTCACTCAGAAGCTTGGTGGTAAGTTAGTCTGGAATATGTTTGGTTTATTTGTTTGCTTTTTTCAAAATAGGGTTTCTCTGTGTAGCTTTGGAGCCTGACATGGCACTCACTCTGTAGACCAGGCTGGCCTCGAACTCACAGAGATCCGCCTGCCTCTGCCTCCCAAGTGCTGGGATTAAAGGCGTGTGTCACCACTGCCTGGCTAGTCTGGAATATGAAGTGTGGCAGAAACAATAAAGGAGATCCTGCCTCAGACAAGGTGGAAGGCAAGAACCAGCTCTCAGAAGCTGCCCTGTCACTTTACCACTTCTGTGCATACTCAGACACCACACAGGCACACTAATAATAAAATAAACTGGGATGTTGTGATTACGTAGCATTTTAGCTTATTGTTTTAGGACTATGTGTGAAATATTTATTGCCTTTTCTTGCAGGAAAGATTTCTCCCTGGACAGGGCGTTTCTACTCACTGCTGGATCCTTCTTATGCTAAAAACAACATCCCCATCATTGCATCTGTGTCTGAGCACCAGCCCACAACCTGGTCCTCCTACTATTTTGATCTGCAGCTCCTTGTCTTCATGTTTCCAGGTCTGTCCTGCATTTTGAAGTAACCTTCATAAGAATCATCCTTTGATTCCAAATATATTAACTACCCTCTTCCTTACTTTTAAAATATTTACTTACTTTTTGTTAGGTATTTAAAAATATTTTTATGTATGTATGTATGTATGTATGTATGTATGTATGTATGTATGTATGTATGAGTGCAGGTGCCTGCAGAGACCAGAAGGGGGTGTCCAGTATTCTGGAGGTAGAGTTACAGACAGTTGTGAGCTGTCCCATGTGGGTACTTATACTTAGTACTCATAGCATATTCCTTTCTCTTTTACCCAGTTTTCTTCTTGGCTATATTGAAGCTCTATGTTGAGTTTTTATAGTTAAGACAATTTTTATATTGTAAAAACAATAGAGATAAGTTTAAAAAGTATGCAAAACGGGTACATTTGCACTAGTTCTTTTTTTAATTGTTTGTTTATTCATTCATTCATTCATTTATTTATTTACTTATTTATTATGTATACAATATTCTGTTTGTGTGTGTTTGCAGACCAGAAGAGGGCAGCAGACCTCGTTACAGATGGTTGTGAGCTACTATGTGGTTGCCGGGAATTAAACTCATGACCTTTGGAAGAGCAGGCAATGCTCTTAACCACTGAGCCATCTCTCCAGCCCCTGCACTAGTTCTTACTACCTGTTCTACTACCTTTAACATTTTAAATCAGATACAGTGATGAATGTCTATAATTTAGTACTTGGAACCTGAGGCAGGAGGATTGTGAGCTTGAGTTTGTTCTGGGCTACATTCTCAAAAAACTGTAATGAAAAATCCATTTTCAGTGTTAATTAATTTTAAGATAGGGTCTGTTTTGTATTTGTGGTCTATTGTGTATTACAGGCTAACCTGTAACATTCATCTACTTATTTGTTGAGTGTGAATGATACCATTCAATGTTCTACTCCTAATTATAAAGAATCATGGTTAGGCATGGAGCTAGGGCTTTGTCAGGGATGGGACACTTGCCTGGCATGACTGAGGCCTGGGGAAAAACACATAATTTCTGCCAATTTAGGATTTACAGAAATATTTTTTATCTGTAGACATGTATAAAGATGTGGAAGAGGAAAGGGACCTATAACTTCTTATAGCAGTATCTTAATGTATTTTATACTTAACATATGGTGAAATTAACCATCTCTTCTGCTAGATGATTTGTGGTTGTTTGGTTATAGTAAACATCTTGGTATAATTTTCTTTAGCATAGATTCCTAGAATTACTGAGGTAAATGTATGAAGCCATGCAGTCGTATAATGAAGGTGTTTTCCCTTGTATTTTCTGTACAGGCTCAGCTGCTTACTTTTCTTTACCTCTTTTGTAGTTGGCCTCTATTACTGCTTTAGTAACCTGTCTGATGCCCGGATTTTCATCATCATGTATGGTGTGACCAGCATGTACTTTTCAGCTGTAATGGTGAGGAATTCCCTCAGTTCTAGCCAAACTATCCCTGACTCTGCGGTGCTTTCTCGTTTGTTCTTTTTTTTTTTTGCCTAGCTGAATTAAAAAAAAAATATTGGTGATTATGCAAAACATCCTGCATTTGGTAATACTTATTTGTAATAAACAGACACATTCTGTTTGTGGGGGTCTAATTTTCTTGAGTTCATAACCCTGTGTTAGGCACTTTTATGCTTCATTGAACTTGGAGCAGATTAAAGAAAAATGTTTGCATGGAACTGGGTTACAGGCAGTTGTGTGCCTCCTAATGTGGATGCTGGAAACCAAGTTCAGGTTCCCTAGAAGAACCAGAAGCTTAGCCGCTACCACTCTCTAGCTCCTGGAGTAGATTTTTTTTTTATCTTAAAGCCTTGAGAGTACTGTCTATGCTTTATTGTTAAGACAGAGAAGGATTTTATGTAAGGTACTAATATATTTCTTACACTATTTTGAAATATTTTTTATTTTATTTATTTTTATGTGTGTGTATGTTTGAGTGTGTATCTGTACACTACAAATATATTTTAATTGGTTATGGTGGTATACACCTGTAATCCCAGCACTTGGGAAGTAGAACTATTATTTCAAGAATGATCTGGTCAACATGGCTAGTCTCTATCTAGAAAAACAATATGGACAAAAATAAGTATATAAAAAAGTAAAAATTTGTTGAGAGATGTGGTACAGGCCTTTAATCCTAGTATTCACAAACCAGAGGTAGGTGGATCTCTTGAGTTCAAGGCCAATGTGGTTTACAAAGAAAGTTCCAGCCAGGATGGCCAGGACTGTTTCACAGAGAAACCTGTTTCCAAAAACCAATAAAAGCAAAACAACAGCAACAAAAAAAACAAACCAACAACAGCAAAACCCCAGTAAAAATTTTATATTATCATTCAGAACCTAGACACATTTAGATATGGAGTTTGTTATTTATATTCATGTTTTTTGAGACAAGGTCTTTAGTTTCCTCTATGTTTTTTTAAATTTTTTAATTTTTTTGGTTTTTCGAGACAGGGTTTCTCTGTGGCTTTCGAGCCTGTCCTGGAACTAGCTCTGTAGACCAGGCTGGTCTCAGACTCATAGAGATCCTCCTGCCTCTGCCTCCAGAGTGCTGGGATTAAAGGCGTGCGCCACCATCGCCCGGCTTCCCCTATGTTTTAATTATGTATGTGTGTGTTTGTGTGTTGGTATGTGCATGTCAGTGAAGGTGCCATGGAGGCCAGAGCCAGGCTATTGTGAGCCACTCCATGTGTGTGCTGGGAACTAAACTCAGTTCCTCTGCAAGAGCAGTAGATGATCTTAAACCATTGAGTCATCTCTTCAGCTCCAAAGATTATCATTTATTATATTTACTTATGTGTATGTGTTTGTGTGTATGCTATATACTAGCAGGTACTTGCAGAGTCCAGAAGAGGACATCACATCTCCTTGAGTTACCTAACATGGGTGTTGGGAACTGAACTCCAGTCTTTTTTATTTAACTTTATTTTATGTGCATTGATGTGAAGATGTCAGATCCCCTGCACCTGGATCTTCAGACAGTTGTGAGCTGCCATGTGGGTGCTGGGAATTGAATCCGGGTCCTCTGGAAGAACAGTCAGTGCTCTTAACCACAGAGCCATTTCTCCAGCCCCCTGAACTCCAGTCTTAAGGATCATGCTTTTAAACTGCTGAGCCATATCTCCTCCATGTATGTGTGTATATGTGTACATGCATATGTGCAGGTACAGGGTCCAGAAGAGGGTGACAGATCTGGAGTTCTAGGCTGTTATGAACTGCCCAACATGGGTTAACTTAGGTCCTCTAGAAGAGCTGTATGTGCTTGGAAGCCATTGAGCCACCTCTCTAGTCCTGGCCTTGAACTTTTGATTCTCCTTTCATAACATTTTGATAGCTGGAATTATAGGTTTGCACAGCAACTGGTCCAACTGCAACAAAGTTTAAGAAATACTTCTGTTACACTAAAACTATACTACATATCTTTTATTTCACATTTGCTGAAGTAGAATATTTGTTGAAAATTGCTAAATTGATGTCATAGTCTTCCAGTAGATTGAAGTCTTGTTATTTGTGGAAGACTGATTATACTGATCACGTTTCTCTTTCCTTTTAGGTGCGTCTAATGCTGGTGTTGGCACCTGTTATGTGCATTCTTTCTGGCATTGGTGTCTCCCAGGTGCTGTCCACATATATGAAGAATTTGGATATAAGTCGCCCAGACAAGAAGAGCAAGAAGCAACAGGATTCTACTTATCCTATTAAGAATGAGGTGAAATTTAAGTAACAAGTTGGCTTGGGAAAATGTGCATGCGTGTGTGTGTTTGAGAGGGGTGGTCACAGTGAACTTGTGCAGCCTGATGTATTTTGGTCTGTCATACTTGGTCATAAGACGCTGTCTGTGTTTGGTTTACATACAGTTCTTTTTTCTGTAGGTGGCAAGTGGAATGATACTGGTCATGGCCTTTTTTCTTATCACCTATACTTTCCACTCAACTTGGGTAACCAGTGAAGCCTACTCTTCTCCCTCCATTGTACTGTCTGCTCGTGGTGGGGATGGCAGTCGCATCATTTTTGATGACTTCCGAGAAGCATATTATTGGCTTCGTCACAATACTCCAGAGGTAAAAATTTGAGAGGGGTTGGATAGTCAGATAGTGGTGAAGACACTTGATATTGTGATAAATATGACCTCTTTTAGATGGATAGGAGCCTTAGAGAAATTAAAAATTTAGAAACTCAGTTTTTAATAAGCTTTAAAGGCCAACTTTCATTGAAGACTGTCGTCTAAAGTAGTGTTTCTCCTCCTGTGGGTTGTGGCCCCTTTGGCAAACATCTGTCTCCAAAAATATTTATATTACAATTTCTAACAGTAGCAGAATTACAGTTGTAAAGTATCAGCAAAAATAGTTTGTGCTTGGGGGGTCACCACAACATTTGAAAGTGTATTAAAGAGTTGAAGCATTAGAAAGTTTGAGATTCATTGTTCTAGAGTATCTTTTTTTTTTT